CCCCCCACCCCCAGGGCCACATGTGAGAGTGCAGATGTCTTGTCCACCCAGTCTGAACTTGGGTAAACCATCTCTTCCCAGAGGCACCCCAAAAAGCACAAGGATCCAAAGCCTCCCCTCTGCCCTCCCCTGACCTGCAAACCCCAAGTAACTAGCCTCCTCCGTCCTCTTTGCACTGAAGAGAAGAGCTCAGTAGAGTTGGGAGGCAGGTAGTTGGCTAGCAAACCTGGCCGACTGGTCCAAGGGAAAGCCAGTCAGCCCTTGGCCTGATCAAAGATGCACGGCTGGGGGCTCTGCCTGGGGTGTTCATGGGAGTATTCAGCAGCAGGGGGCTGGGATGGGCATTGGCAGTGTTTCTGGATGGTTAGCTCCCTGTTCGTCCAGGAGCACCACCGAAAGCTCGGTAGGATAGAGCATCAGTATCTTAAAAATGCTACTGTGGGTCAGCCTGCCCAACCCCACCCCCCCACCCCCATGAGCTGGAGCAGCTGGGGACAGCTCCAGAGAAACAGCAACCCCAGCCCTCCCAGACCAGGTGACCCTTTGCACCTTCCCATAGAGGACAGTATCCACTGTCCGCATTTTTCACATGAAGAGTAACATCCATATAACTGTTATGCACTGGGCACTGGGCTAAGGTATTTACATGCACAATCTCAGTTAATTAGGGAAATGTTAGGCTCCGAGAGATCATTACCCAGTTCCGGGATGAGATGACAGGAGTGAGGGCTCCCTGACCCCCCTCAGGCCATTGCTCCCACCCCACTTCACCTTCTGGGCAGCTCAGAAAACGAGGCCTTCCTTTCATTCTTCCTGCCTAGTTTAGAGGCTGGGTAGAACCTTGAGGGGTTGCTCCCCAACCCAGAGCCCTGATAGTCTGCTTTGGGGAAGAATTACAAGTTGTTTGGAGCTGAAAGGGTCATTCTAGGCATGGTCTTGGCCCAAGAACTGCGCAAGGGTGGGAGAGAGGAGGGACAATGGGCCCTGCTTACCACTTTGGGCCGTCCGGAGAATTCCTTGCCCTTCTTGATAAGCACCTCCTTGGCCAGCTGGTGGTGGCCGATCATCACTGTAGTCTTGCTCCCCATACGAAAGGAATAGATGGGGCCGTATTTTTCCTGCAGCTTGAAGAAGTTCACGTGCGGGTGGCCATTTCTGGGGAGGAATGGCAGGCTGCCCACCAAGGGCAGGGATGGGAGGCTCTTGGGGTATTTGGCACCAGGGCTCTTTACCTTGGGCCAAAGAAAATAGGCTAGAGTGAGCAGCAAGAGAGCCAAGAGCTCCCACATGGTGGCCAGGCGCCGGCAGGCAGGATGGACAGCTCTGGAGTGGAAGAGCTGCAGCCACTCTAGGGTGCAAAGCCTTTTTAAGGGCTGCCATGATCTTCACCTTGACTTTGTGTTATCTCTTGCCTTGTGGAAGTTTATCCTGGAATGCAGCCAGACCAGAACCCTCTCCCAGAATGGGGAAAGGAAGGGGGAGTGGAGGCCTCCTCAAGGGCTGGCTCAACTCCAGGGCAAACCTCTAAGGGAGGAGCAAAGTAGGGGTGGAT